CTTGTTCCTAGTAGCTTCTTTGTTACTACTAGTAAGGCACTTGTTACATCTTGTTACTTGTAATTTGAGAAGGTCGAAAAGGGAACGTTTTTTTCCAAGCATCGGGACGAGATCGAGCGCAGCCTGGTTGAGGGAACTCGTTCCTTTGGCCGTTTTGTTGATCGACTTAGATCTGACCAGTTCTTTAGTTGCACATACAAGAAGGCTTGGTTAAGCACTCACAAGTACATTAACCTACTAGCGATGGCCTCCAATCTACTAGCGCTAAGTCGGCTAAGTCTATCAATCTCTGCAGGTTTAGAGTTCCAAAGTTCCAGCAACTCCCAAAGGAAACAACAAAACAACAACACAGGCACTCATCATTGTTCATTTGCTTTCTCGTCTCATAGCCATGGCCTGGCAGGCCCTCGCGTCACATGGAGTTCTTTGCTTTTTGTGCTTTGTTGCTTTTCTTTGCATCTACTAGCAATTGCCTCCAACCTGCTTTTGTTTTTTTGCGTTGAGTGCGTTGCAATTGTATCGCAACGGGAATCAAAGTCATCCAGTCGCCAGGAGAAAGACATCTCGACTTGGAGCAAGAAGTCTTTGCCAGAGTACTTGTTTGCCTTGCAGGAGCTTAAATTGTTGAGCCCTTGCCGATGCACCAGCTTTGACATTGGTCGTTTCGTCCAGGAAGGGCCCTGTTTGCTCCTGACCCCATGGTCTCACATGGAGGCGCAGATGACTTTCAGAGCTGGAAGAAACTGTAAAGGGGGGAAGACTTCGGAAAGACTTAAGACCTACAAACATCGCTACTAGGGTGGAGGCCATCGCTTACGCTCCTTAAAGCATCTTTCAAGGTACGCTTCTCTCACATCGAGGTTAGCGGGGAAGTGTGCCTTTGCGGCCGGAAGAGCGAGGCGGAACTCAGCTGGCGAAATCATTGAAAAGCCAGGACGACATTGAAACCATTGTCTTCTTCTTTCTATTTCTTTCTTCCTTTAAGCTTTTAAGACTATTTTCTTTCATTTTGATGTCTTTTCACAAAAGAAGACACTGTATTCTTTTTCTTCTAGTCTATTTCTTTCTCTGGTACTTTTCCAGTCCCTTTTCTTTTCTTTGTGTGCTATTTTATAAGAAAGCGCAACATCTGACTTACCGACGTGATTTTGAGTGGCACATGTGACACGCACATGGGGCAGAGGCACTTGCAGCACACTGGCTGTGCTGCAGTAGTTTCGAGAGCAACAGTGCAGTATACTTTGCAAACCGCTTGGGGCAACATGCATACTCTGTGCGCTCCATGCTTGCAGTGTCGTTTTCTCTTTGCAACCACAACTGGATACCTTTTTCGTTCGCAACGATGGCGTGATGGCGTCCACCAAGGCAGCTCCAGCAGTTCCTTTTCCGGCTAAAGGACACAATATGAACTGACGGAGGCACTTGTTTCTAATAGCTTCTTGCTACTAGTAGCGATGCACCTGTTACTACTAGCGATGCACCTGTTACTGGCTGTAGTGTGGGATCTGTGAGATTCTGTTGATCTGAGTTCAGTCTCTGTCTCCACCTGTCTGGTGACCAGATTTGTCCACATTCACTTCCTTCTCATTCTGGTCTCTGTTCCTCACCTATCCTGATCTCATCGCAAATTGCCTCCAATCTGGACTGGCTCTCGTACTTACATTACCCAAGTCCACTTTGGCGCGATCGCAGGCGTGGGAAGACGATGTTCGCTCCATCAAATAGCTGCGTGAATGCTGGTGCAACGCTGGCAACCAATAGATTCAATTGATGACCTTCTAGCCTCGTAAACTTCCAAGCCCTGCTCAAAAGGGTCATAAAGTCCTTCAGGAACCGTCTCCTTTTCAAGCCAAAGTTGGACTGCTGGATGACTGAAGTCATTCAAAAGGGTGAATGTTAAACATAAGAGGTAAAAGGGATACAATAGAACGCACCCTTCCAAGTTGTAGTAAAGGAGAAACATTTGAGGCAGAGTCAATCGAGCAATCAGCATCATTTGGTGTGGGCTGAAGGTGCTTCAGTTCGACTTGGACATTGGGGTGCAGCTGGACATTTTCAAGGCACAAGAAGCTACGTTCTGGGCTCCTGGCCCTACTACTAGGAGCAAGGACGCTACTAGGGGCTCCTGGCCTTACTACTAGGAACAAGAAGCTACTACCAACAAGGTGCATTTCTACTAGTAACTAGAAGCTACTAGGAGCAAAGGGCATTGCTACTAGGAGCAAGGACGCTACTAGGGGCTCTGGCATCGCACTCACTGCACGCTGCCGAAATCGTGTCTTCACAGGCTGTCCGCTTCTACCAGGCACCTGCTTCGACCTGCTTTTTGATATTCGAATGCTGATCAGTTCCTTCTGCTTTCTTGTGTTTCAATTCCTTTCAGTTCCTTTCAGTTCTAGTTTTGAACGATGTTCAACCAGGTGCTCTGTGGCCCAAACATGGTGTTCAATCTTCGTTCTTTCCATCTCTGCTTCGGAGGGCCCGAAGCGGGAAGAGCCGTTCTTTCGTGGAGTGCTTCGGATCTTCCACTTTGAGCCGAATAGCATTCCTGAGATCCAGGCGAAGTAGACGCGCCGAACGTGTCCACCACGTGAACTTCCAATGCACCGATGCATTGGATCAAAAGGAACAAGAGGACGCTGCGTTCGGGGCTCCTGGCATCGCTACTAGGAACAAGAAGCTACTAGGGGCTCCTGGCCATACTAGTAGTAACAAGAAGCTACTAGGAGCTACTAGGCATCGTCACTTCATTCCGAATGACTTTGATTTCCAGCAGCAACTGTTCATGTTCCAGGCAAGCTTTGATCGAGCAGATGCCATCATGGCTGAGGCACAGTGTGATTGGAACTCATAACTGCAAGACCTTGCTGTAGCTGGGAAAAAATGAGCAGGTAAAGCGGCAAACAAAACGACCTTGGTTCTCCTCTTTTGAGGCAGCCGAGGTGACCTGGTTTCTGCAAAAAGGCATGGGCAGCCGATTGCTGCTGGCCTCCTTGTCCAGGTGAGTTCCGAGCGTTCCAAAGTCGTGCTGCTTCAACTTGCTGGCAGTGACGACTAGTTCCTAAGTCCAGCCTAGTAGCAACGTCCCTATTTCTTAGAACAAGCGAAGGTTGCTGAAGTGCTTCAACAGAATTTCAGCTTCACATCTGTCCAGTTTCGTGCAATGTTTGGCATAAGTTGGAGATCAAACCAAGCAATGATCCTTGTCGTTCCTTTTGGAAGCCATCGGTGATCATATGTCGCACAACATCCGTGTCGAAGGAAGGAAATCGCGGTGCAAAGTCCTGTACCTCCACAATCCATTCGCCCTAGTAGTAACAAGTGCATCGCTAGTAGTAACAAGTGCCTTACTAGTAGTAACAAGAAGCTAGTAGAAACAATAAGCTAATAGCTTCTTGTTACTACTAGTAAGGCCATTCGCCCTAGTAGCTTCTTGTTCCTAGTAGCGTGGCACTTGTTACTACTAGTAAGGCACTTGTTCCTAGTAGCTTCTTGTTACTACTAGTAAGGCCATTCGCCCGAGTAGCTTCTTGTTGCTAGTAGCGTGGCACTTGTTACTACTAGTAAGGCCATTCGCCCTAGTAGCTTCTTGTTCCTAGTAGTAAGGCCAGGAGCCCCGTTCGTAGCGTCCGATCGCTCCTAGTAGCGATGCCAGGAGCCCCGAACGTGCGTCCTCTTGTTTTTAGTAGCCTCCACAATCCATTCACCTCCCCATCGCTTCTAGGTTGGTGGCCATCGTCACACCAATCCCAGCGGCACAGGAACAAGCATCTGCATCAAAACCGACGGGTCATGTCTCCAAAACGAGCATTTCGTTCCAAGATTTGCCCCAACAATCCAAAAGTGACTCTCATTGCAGTGCACGCATCACGCAGCCTGCAAGATAGCAGTTTCGCGATCCACCTGCAACAAAAACCTTGCAACCCACCCTACTAGCGATGGCCTCCAACCTACTAGTGATGGCCTCCAACCTGGTAGTGATGGTCTCCACCCTAATAGCGATGGCCTCGAACACCTGCCGCGACAATTTATTCCTAACACGTCCAACGCACGACTGTTCCACACCTAGCAAGAACTGTACCACACCACACCTTTGCATGATTTCGACCAGTTGCTTCACCCATAGAAAATTGCAATTTTTGCGTCGACAGAGCCGAGTTTTCGAGGCCCCTTCAGATCCATGAAACTCGCACAACCAAAGATCCCCGCATTACTAGTAGTAACAAAGAAGCTACTAGGAACAAGTGCCTTACGAGTAGTAACAGGTGCCTTACTAGTAGTAACAAAGAAGCTACTAGAAACAAGTGCCTTACTAGTAAGAATGCTTCTAGTAGCGATGCCAGGAGCCCCTAGTAGCGTCCTATCGCTCCTAGTAGCGATGCCAGGAGCCCCTAGTAGCTTTCTTGTTACTAAAAAGCTTCAAAGACATACCAAAAGTTTTCTTGTTGCTACAGGTGAAACGATTACCAAGGAAGCTTCTGGTTACTAGAAAGCTTTATTACTAAGCCATACACACACACACACTGTGGACCTAACGAAATGCTGCGCGAGCAGTGCAAAATCATAAACAAGTGCATCGCTACTAGTAACAAAGTGCATTGCTACTAGGAGCAAGAAGCTACTAGTAACAAGTGCATCGCTTCTAGTAACAAGTGCCTTACTAGTAGTA